AAATTGATTTTCATAAAAGTGACTGATGGCTCATTGGTTATAGCATACGCTTGACAAGCGACAGACCCGAGTTTAAACCCCTGCTGGGTCAGAACTTTTTTTAAATTTAAATCTACTAATTTGACTATTTCATTCAGTAGAATTTGACTAATTATTAGTGACTGTTTTTTCGCTATGACAATTAGCCAAATATGACTTATAATTAGTTATTTTTGACTAATTTATTTTAAGAGAGCAAGTTTTATTAAGCAACAAGTCGTATTGAGTTTCAATTAAGGTTAGGTTTTCAAAATACCGGTAAGTTTTTTTAGTTAAACATTTTTTTTTTTTAAATAAATCCTGTTCATTACATTATATTGCTTTGATATTTTCAATTTTATTATTAATTCTATATATATATATTAGGGTGATTCATTTCCGCAAAGTTTTTGGTTTTTTTCGGTGCTCAAGCAAAATATTAATCTGCATATAGGAAAAAACATTCTCACCAAGTTTGAGCTCTTAATATTAATTTTAAGCACTTACTATTTAAATTTAAAGTTTTACCGTTTAAAATGCATGTAAAAAATATTTTTTTTTTCAAATTTCTAATGCTTACCCACCTTTGACAATATTGCAAATCGGTTTAATACACCTTATGGGGAATTTCACGCTCTTTAAAATTGCTTTTGAGTTTTTTTTTGTAACTCGCATTGGTTCACCAGTAGGAGTCGTCAAAGGACAGTTTTTGAAAAAAATCGTTTTTTTTTATTTTTTCGAGCAAATCGCCAAAAGTAGTGAGAAAAAAGGGCTGATTAATAAAAAAGAAGTTATCCAACCAATATTTAATGAATTTACTGCCATTTTTATAACTGAAAACGTAAGAAATTGATAAATACCAACCCATAATGTTATTTAGATTGATTTTTTCTATTTATTATCATTATATTTCCCTACACTAAGAACTTTTTTAAAATTATTATGATTTCTCACTCATAATGAATATGAAAACAACACATAAATTCATAAAAAAAAAAACAACAAAACTTTAATCGGAATATACAGAAGGTTATGTAACATATTTCAAATTTCGCTTCAAAAAATTAAATAATCTTCATTTATATTTTTTTGCTATATGACAGAAATGTTGAAAAATTGCAAAATCCACGTTACAATTTTCTTATTGTTTTTTTATGAATTTATCTGTTGTTTTCATATTCATTATACGTGAGAAGTCATAATAATTTTAAAAAAGTTCTTAGTGTAGGGAAATATAATGATAATAAATAGAAAAAATCAATCTAAATAACATTATGAGTTGTAGTTCAGTTATAAAAATGGCTGTAAATTCATTAAATATTGGTTGGATAACTTTTTTTTATAAATCAGCCCTTTTTTCTCCCACCTTTTTGCGGTTTGTTAGAAAAAATTTAAAAAAAAAACGATTTTTTTCAAAAACTGTCCTTTGACGACTCCTACTGGTGAACCAATGCGATGTATACATTAAATTCATGAATTTCATGTATAACTGCAGTTACTTTTTAACTATTTGTTATTCTTTACTTAACTTTATCCTATTAACAACTCTATTACCAAGTTAAGGTGCAGATTTGATACGCTACGTGCGCGACTTATCCGGAGCATACTCTATAAACCGCTTCCGGAGGAGCCCTTTAAACTTAAAATAAATGTCTGGATGCGGTTAAGAAAGAACACAAAAGACTTTGGTGCAGGTCTCGCGAATTCTATGCAACGGAAACTGCTGCTAGAAAAAATCGCGCATACGATTGTTCGCAGATTTCCGCTGTTTGATTCCTGGAATGTCTTTCAAAGTTAACAAATACAACATTTGTTGAAATTTTCAACTTAAAAACATCAGAAAAAATAGTACACTGCAGTGCACTTATTGAATTCAATTCAAGTTTTACACCTTAAAACTTGTGGCACATAATAACACAACATTGTTTATTAATAATTTCTCCAATTTATTTAAAAATTTTGATAATTTTTGGGATGCGAAGGTGGTAAAAAGGAAAATGAAACTAAATTATTAATTTAGATACCTATGTATTCAGCGACTTATACAAAAAATATGGAAAATAGAATACCTAAACTTAATATAAACTGACACTGACAACATAAAATAAACATAACAAAACATAAACTGCAAACTGAAAAAAAATTCGTATAGCTAATTCTAATCATATTGAGATATAATTCTACATGAAGTGCGTCTCCACTTATAATAGTACAAATGTCGATAGATTATAATTTATAAATATGTATTCAGCGACCAATACAAAAACTTTGTAAGGACAGAATTAAGTTTATATAAACTGAAAACATAAAATAAACATAAATTACAAACTAAAATAATTTATAACAAAATAGAGAATTAAATCTGTTTAGATTAAAATAGTAAGAATGGCTATGTAAAAAAATAAAATAACAGAGACAAGGGTACGTTTTTTTAACCTTTATTTTTAAAATATGTTAAAATATTTCATGGAAGGAAAATCGTGTTGTACTGTGTAATAGATACCCATGGGTATCATCCCAAAAGGTAAAAGATATAACTAATTTTTATAAAAGTAGCAGTGTCGCAAACCCTGGCTGGGTCAAAAATTAAATTTAAATTAACAAAATCTACAAACTTGATTGTTTTATTCCGTAGAATTTGACAAAATATTAGTGACTGCTTTGTTGCTCTATAAGAGAGTAAGGAAATATTACAAGAAAACTTTTTTGTTCTTGTTTTGTTTTTGATTAAATTGGCGCCTTGTACTTTAACCGTGTTTTCTCATAATAATGAATTTATTTACATGTTATTAACTGGTCGCGATAAATAGTCAGAATTAAAGGGTGTTCGTAGCAAATTAACTAAGTCAATTAGTTGCTGGTGCACTTAATAAACTTCATTATTGTTATTATAAAATCAGTGGTTTTACGAGTATAATTTGTGTGTTTATAGTTGTAAATTGAAATGGAAATGCGGTAGGACAGACCGGTAATAGGTGTACAATAATTGTGGCAAGTGCCGCGGGCCCCTGACCGCTTTTTTGCGTCTTTAAGACTCTTTGCAGTCTTATTTGATTGCATGTAAATGCCTTCGATTTCTTCGTAAAGCGATTTAAATTTTATTAATTCCGCAGTCAAAACAGAAATTAACAAAATTATATATGGCTGCTCGAGTTGCCATGCTAATTTTTTGCGCTTATCCTCCTCCTCGACTATATAAATGTTTGTGAAAACAAGTCATAAACGTTCAGTATTCCAGAGCCATTTATTTTTTCTTCTTTTCATTCGGGACGGTTTATTAAAACGATCTCTTGCAGAAGACCGACCAAAAAGTATAAAAATGTAGTTCAAGAATAATCCGCTTATACAGGCGCCAGACAAGATTAGCAAATATTGTATTTTTGAAACCAGAACCTTTTTTAAATTGTGTTGATTTTTTGAGTTCGCTCTAGATTTCTAAATAGGCATGAAATCTTGAAAAACGCACTGTTACTGAATATGCAACTAAAAGTTTTACTCGGTGTCAAATCAATCCCAAATATTTATATATATAAACTATAGATATAATTAGTGAGAAAAATCCGTTTGAAAAACATTGCACAAAGTTGTGCAAAATTTCATGACCATTTTAACATCAAATTAACAACATACATGGTCTATATCGATACAAACCAAAATGGTGTTAAATATGGTTCGTTGGTCCAGTGTAAATTCAAATACTAAAATAGTGTAAATTTAACTTTCACACAGTATTAAAATAAATTTTACCTGGTGTAAATTGAACTCCTTTTCAGTGTATGTGTTTTGGTCAAATTAAATCATACTACACAGAAAAAAAAGGAAAAAAAATGAAACAGGAAGTTCCTTGACGCATTACTAGTATATTACCAGTGGTATTATTCCAGAAAATTCAACCTTCAACTCGCTAGAGATAATGTTTTTAGTGCGTTCCATCAACTTAAAATACTTCAAGTATTGACAGCTGTTTCCACCTATTTAAGGTCTCTTTAGTATCGAACAACTTGTAGTGTCACACCAAAGCAAAGGACTACCTGCGCTTATATACTCTTCATGTAAGTCAACAGAGGCGAGATTTAAGAACATCACGTGATCCACACCGCCTTTGCCGCGATCGGTACACACTATGCAACCAGAAATGCACGGCAAATTGTTTTAATCGTTTTAACAGAGTGCTTTAGGTTGAAGTTACTCTTATTTTACAAACAACATATTTAGTAAACTGAACCATACAGCGGGTTGGTTTCACTAAAGTTTTCTGGGTTAATTTAACCAATTTAAAAAAAATAAAATAACTATCTGGTTTAGTAGTAAAAAAATATTTCTGGTTTTAATTTTTGATTTTTTTTTAATAAAACAACAGATTTGTATTTATCTTATATTAAATATATGTTGGAAACAAATCTTGATCTTAGTTTGACGATTATACGTTGCGTTCGAATCTATAGTGGTATCACAACCTAAAACACCACTTGATATACAGGGTGTTTCACATTCGTTGTCCATTGGAAGATTCTGAAGAACGGAAAAAATATAGATTTGAAATTTAAAAGCGTTTATAATCCATGAAGTCTATTTTTTTAAATATTTTGAACAAAATGCCACTTCCGGCTTGAAATATTCCATAAAAATAGGCTTAATTGGATTATAAACGCTTTCAAATTGATATCTTTTGCCGTATTTCGTAAATGTGCAACACCCTGTATATAATTAAAATAATTTTAAAATAAATAAATAATCTTAATGGTTGTCCATTTATTCAGTAAATAAATTTTTCATAAAAATATACTGTCTAGCTGTTATCGAATCTGTTATATTATGTGCCGAATACTTTGGATAACATTATATTGGATCTCACTTAAAAAAATTTATAATCTATTCAAATCTCCAAAAAACGGCAGTTAAAAAAAAATTCATATTTAAAGAGTGGAATTTAGACCATTTTATTTTGTAAATTTGTATTCAATCTATTTTACTTTTTCCAGTTGCCGTCCAGGCTGGAAAGGAGACTTCTGCGACCAATGCGAGCCCTATCCAGGCTGCAAACATGGATATTGCAACGGATCATCCTGGCAGTGCATTTGTGATACAAACTGGGGCGGAATACTATGCGATCAAGGTAAGATACCATTTTTTTAAATCACCCCAATAGTTATTTATGTCATTAGGTTAAGAAGTAAGGCTTTTTGTGCTAAGCTCAAGGTTACAATTGAGCGAAGCACAAAAAGGCACTTCTTGGCCGAATGGCATACAACATTTTATCTTCAAAGCACTTTATATAGGTCAATTTAATTCAACATCAAAGCGGCCTAACCTCACTTTTTAGAATCTCATTTATTTATTAGCTAAAGATTACATTAAATGTACAATAATTATTATTGCTTTTAGAAGCAGTAATAGTTTGACAATACCTAGCAACATGATTTAAGTAGAAATGGATTTTGCTATTACATTGAATTCAATTAATTGTTTAATAAATAGGTAGGTATCTAATTTCAATTTGTTTGGATTTTCATTTAAAAAATAGGTAGTTTGGAATGTTTAAGCTGTGTTTAACATTTAATTTCACTGAAAACTTAAAGCAAATTAAAACTTTAAGATAATTTAAATCGTAGAAAAAAAAACGTGCGTTTTCTTGGTTGCCTAACCTCACTTTTTGTTTTATTATTCATATTTAATTTTACAATAATTTAATGAAAAATATTAAACATTAACAGTAAAACAAACAAATTAGTGCTTATTATAAATAAATTAAACCAGTTTAGTACGTTAATTTCTTAGAAAAGGATTAATTTGTCAAAACAATACCCCTAGCGAGAAAAAATCGAACTAATTACTTGCCTCATAAAAATTTTTATCGGCCTAGGTCATAACAAGGTATTTCTTTATTAAATGTTGACAAAATAAAGTTTAAATTATAGACCGCGTGGAGATAAAATTATTTAAACACAAACACAAATGGGGCTTTAATTGTAAAAAGAAAGGTTGGGATCTTCAACACATGCCCGGCAAGTGCAATCGCACATGTTGGCTCGCATGTTTTTTGTTAATTGCAAAAAAGGGTTAACAACCATCAGCAAGGGTGTGTTGTATGTATGATCAAGTGCGGTATTGTGGATACGCACCCAGCGTATCATAGCTTATAGAACACTGTTGCGCCCCTATGTGCTCCAGTTTTTTAGATAGAAGATACGTTTTCGATGATGAATGACCATGGGGTTCTTTATGGAGTTTTTTATGTTTATTCTGTGGCAGTTTGGTCGAGTGTGGTCCGGCCGCACAATGGCCCATTCTGTCGCATCTGCTACGATCACAATGTTTTTTATGGCGGCACATCATAATGCCTCATTATTTACGGTTAAATTTTTATTATTACGTTACAAGTTTGACAGCTTAATCTATTCAATATTGCCTCGATTTTTTCGAATATCATTACGCCGAATTAATATATTAACTGACAATGGGAAATAGTTTACAATTGTGGGTTCTACGATACAAACGACTTTTGGATGCTCTTAGTATTTATAATTTAAGTTTTATTATTATGTCAGAAATTATGATATAATTCAATGCAACAGACTTCTCTAACATAATCAAACACATTAAATAAATCATTTGTTAATATTAACCAGATTTTATGTTAATCCAGGTCCACATAACTTTATATTAAGTTTACAACCAACTGTAATCTGTTAACTAATTGAATCAGTAGTTTGTAATTATAACAAAAATGTTGTAGATTTAATAACAAAATCCTACTTCAATAATTCAACCATAATTCTTGTAATTTTCAAAGAAGACCTGGAAGACCCAGTAACAAAAGTATTTGTTGGAAATTGTGAAATTAAAGCAAAATAATTTTGATAAGAAATGTTGCTTTATTAATCAATTTCCTAAACAAATAAATTAACACATACCTACAAAAATAAGAAGAAGAAATTTGGTACAATAGTATTACTACACACGGTGGTCAAAACCCTTTTGGTAACACTATCATGTATTTATCAAAATTCCAGCTGATCCTATTTTAAAGTTTTGCAAACTTTTTTGTTTTTATATTTCTATATATATTATTTTGCAATTATTGTACTAAAACTACCTGTACAATTTTAATAATATTAAGCAAAATAATAAACTTTGTATCATTTAAATTACTTTACTCCCCAGTATTAATTTATTGAGTCACCTATTATTTTTTACCACTCAAAACAAAACATAACAAAAAAAAACGAAGATTTATATCTTAAATATTTTTTATAACAAAAAATACTGGAAGTTTGTCTATGAAATAATTACAACTTGCAAATTTTGTAAAACAATAATTAAGATGGTTATGAAAAAAATTGCTATACTTTATAACGCAAGTGACATTTTGCTTTAGTTGTTTATTTAATGTATACTTTATAAAGTAAAAATAGTATTTTAAAATAAAAATTAAACCGAAATTCAAGTTAAGCCATGAAGAAAATCGAAAGAAGGTATGTGCTGGCTGTGGAGACAAAATTGTTTTTGTTAATCGAAAAATTCAGAGTTTAGGGTTTCTGAGAAAATATAAAAATTATTGCAGACTTTTTCAAACGAACACTTTAACTTAAGTGATTCAAAATTACCTACTTCAATATGGTAAAAACGGTATTTTTGCATAACCACAATTGCCAAATTTTTAAAATTTAGAAATTGCTAGAGAATTTCGCGGCAGCCAAGAATGTATGTGCTTTATCTGCAAAATGGCAAGATATAAAGGGCATAAAAAATTATTAAGGGAAGAGGACGGACGAACGAACTAAAGTTTTGATATGCTCTTCCTTTCTAGGGGATATCGCTAGATGTAAGAAGCATGTTTGTACAGAGACTGAAGAATTTAAAAATACTGTTTCCATGTTAAAAATAATTCCATGTAAAACCCAGGAAAAAGTTTTATTGAAAATTTAAGGCAATCAGTAATCAATTTTGCTTCAAAGAATCTTTAGTTATTTATTAGTTTTGTATTAGGTACCTTAAAACAATAAATATAATATTGCAAACTGTATTTTACATTATTTTGTATTTATAATGTAATTTATCCATATTTCAGTCATGTATCTGCCAAATTTTTAAAAACATTTGATAATGGTACTAGAGTATTTTATCGAAATGGCATAAACAATTTTAAAATACTAAGAAATATGCAAAACTTTAATAAAGGATCAGCTGGGATTTTGATAAATACATTTTTGTGTTACCAAAACAGTCTATAATCAGAGTATGCTATCAGTTTTGGTTGGCATTTTTGTTCGTCCTATACTTTAGCTTTGACCACCGTGTATAGGTATAACAGTTCAGTCTTCTTCTAAACTATAAAACTTGATTTAAATCGGTTTTGTTGAAAAAGTGAATAAAATGTATTTTACAATAACAATTTTTTTTATCAACAAGACATTTTAGTCAATTAGAAGGATTTTGTCTATATTTTGATAAAAATTAAAGTTACCAATAATTTTTATTGAAAATTTAACGGTTTCGTATATAACATTTTAAATAAGCATTTTCGTACACAAAAGACTTACTTCTCAGCTTATGACATAAATAACTATTATTTTTGAAACCTCCTAGGCTGTAAAAATAATTTGGACCATTTGGGTTAAGTTTTTTACCTACTAGTCTGTAAAACCCCCGTTTGGACCAATGAAACAATTGTAATACTGTCACATCTAATCTAACCTCACTTTATCGCAGCTGTCAATAATAATATGAGATGTTTAATTTTTATATTTTTTATGATTTATATTATATTATTATATAAAATTTTAACGATAAATTACTGACTAATAAAAAACTTTATTATATAATTTTGCAATTGGCCATAGACCATAGGGTTCTATATCATTAAATTTTTTATACAATTTTTAAATTTTCTGTAATTGTTGTGCTTATATATCACATAAAATTATAGTAATATATAAAAATAACAAAAAATCATTGGAAACAATAAAAATTTGTAATTAACACAATTAAGCATTAAACCTTGAACAATTTCTTTTGATTGACTGACTACACGTAAAACTTTTTCCTGGTGAAATTCATAAAATAAGACAGTTTTTCCTCTATAATTTTTGCAATAGTGCCCTTTTTTTTAATAAAAATATCATTATAATTTTTATAAGTAATAATCTACATTCATTAAAAATTTACATTTGTGCTATCATTGATTACTTTGTTGATAATTGTTTTTTGTTTTGCATACTCAGCTATTGTTAGGTACTTTGAATAAAACAATACTTACTTTTTATTGTTAGTTATCTCGAGGTTTCCGTGGTTTTACCGTTGATTTTAAATTTCACCTTTCTCTTTTTACGTCGATTTATGCTCATGCAGCTATTTTTTTAAGTGTTCCACAAAATCATAATTAATGGTCAACTACCCCGCCGTTATCATCCACACAAAGTGGACAGCGGCGTAGAAAATGACTATCATATCCGGATGATTTATGATAACAAAGTACCTACTAACCGATTTTGAATAAGTTTAAAAGTTTTCTTGATATTACATAGTACACTTCGCGCATATTTGTTTCTTTTTTGCTTGGATGACTAATGTCATTGTTTTTGGAGGTAAAAACAATGATGACATATAGTAGCAATGGAATTGGACAAGATTCTTTGTCAAGATACTTGGAGAAGTACTTTGTAAAGAATTGGACAATTCTTGACCAAGACTCTTGATCAAAATTCTTTATCCAGACTGGTGGCAGACTTGGACAAGTCTGTGACCAGAATTTGACCAGATTCTTGGCCAAGAATTTTTACACGATTACACGTTAAATAGGAACTTTCAATTCAAGATTTTTGGTCAATACAAAATTTTGTTGAACTTGAAAAGTTAAGAATGTTACTAAAAACATTAATTTTCCATGATTTCTTTCCAGTAAATTCGGTTTTTATCCATAAATCTGGTAAACAATAGAATTAAAAACGAAACAAATTTTGAAAGAGTTAAAGTTTTTAATTTTCTATGTTAAAAAAAACCAGGTGCCCGTAAAAATAAACATATATTTTATAATCTTTCATGTTCATAAAGAGTAAACTCTAGTTATGCGTCAGAGCTGACACACACTTTTTTTTTAATTTTTGATTTTTAGAA